CTTGGCAGATGCAGGGCGGATGGCAGGTTGTTCTCCGTCCCCGGGTTGGGGTGGGTGAGGAGCCCAGGATGCTGGCTCAGGCGCTCCGCGGGGCAGCCTTTCGAAGCGGATGGAAACCTGCCTTCGATGAGCAGCGGTCGCCCACGACTGTGTGAGAGGGGGCTGCACAGGCTGCGAGCATCAACTATCTATTCAAGGAAAAAAAGTTAATTGGCTCCATCTGTGTCGGCCTAATGACTGATTAAATGACTAATCACGGAAGTCTTAATTAAAGCCATTTTTCTCTGAGCGCGCAGGGGGAGGGGCTCTGTGGCCGAGTGTGTCAGGTTCCGGGCGGGCCTTTGCTGAGCCGTCAACAAGCAATTATGGGCAAGGTCGTGCTGCAAACTCCCGCACACATTACCAGGCTGACCAGTCTCCTCTAGGGCTGACAGCATTGCGGGCGGCGTCACAAAGCAGGCATTTAGGATTTCTGGGGAAAATGCAACCAGAGTCATGTGCCCCCTGCCTCAGTGGAATTCTCATGTGTGGCTGGGCAAACTCACAGCCACATTTGTGAAATCGAGTCCATCTTTTGCAGCTGACACAATTTCACATCATGCAGGAACTGACAGAGCTCTGTGTCATGTTGCGAAATTCCGTAATATGCCAGGAATGTCTCCGCAGGAATGCAGCGGGAGGCCAGCCACGGAACCCTGCTCGCCCAGGGAAGCAGCGCCGCATGCGGGGCCTTCCGCTGACCCTCCCGGTCCCGGTCCTCATGGAGCGGCTGCCCCGTCCATGCACGTCTCCCCTCCAACGAGCTGGTCTGGTGCTGGGGGTGGGTGACCAGGGCAGGCCCACCGACCGAGGTGAGGCGGCAACTCAGGACCAGACTTTGAGACAGCGAAGCAACTACTTATGTAACAACAGGGAAAGGCCAGAGTCCTGTCCGCAGCAGTGCACCCCTCTGTGACCCCCAGGACTCGGCTCAGGACGCCGGCCGGCCCCTCCCCGTCCTCCACACCCAGCGCCCTACCAGTGGGGACTCTGCCCCGGGGTGGCCAGCGTCAGGGCAAACCCTGCCTTGCTCCCTCCGAGGGGTGGGGGAATGCGTGGTGAGGGGCCCCAAGGCGGCCGGGGGCTGGGCCCTCAGGATTGGCTGTACTTGGGCGCCCCTTCCCAGGGCGGGCTCGCCCCCCCGAGAGCAGGTGGTCAGAGCGGGTCAGCTGGAGGGGCAGGGCCGGGCTCCGGGAAGGCCCCACAGTGCCCGTCCCTCTCCCAAGGGTGCGGGTTCTGCCCCAGCAACCACGGCCACTGTGTGTGCGGCACCCTCGCGCCCCTATTTTAGGGAGCACAAAGGTAATGTTTCTAGGTCAAAGAAGATATTGCAGAATTGTGCCCGAAAGTTGTTAACAAAAGGCAAATGGTTCCTCCTGAACACTCTCCCCTTCTCATGTAAATTAAAAACCGCCACTTGGCTCCGAAATCACAGGGCGGCTGTCACTCCTGTCTCTGTGGCGATGAGGAGGCACTTCCTCAGTCATTTCTATTGTGTGAGCCTCCTGGGTGCAGTGACAACGGCTGACGTGGGCAGAGACCAACTTGGGGTGAAGCTACTAAAGAGCAAACACAAGGTCCACTGTGGCTTTGAGGGGTCACCAGGCAGAGGGGGACAGGCGGGGGCACAGGTGACCCGGGGCCCCCGGCAGATGCGGAAGGCAGCTCCCGTCTGTGGGGCTGCACAGGGCCGCGGGCACAGCCGAGGCTGTTTTGAGAGAGAGACTGTCCCCAGCCCCACAGCCTGGCCATCTTGACTACTCCCACAGACACCCGCTGGACTGCCCTTGGTCCCCACTTGGGTGACCCCAGGCAGGATGGTGGCCACCTGAACTCAGCTGTTTCTCCCTCCCTCCCTGGACCTTGGGGTCCAACACTTAGAGGCCAAAAGCTGCACACGGGCCGGACATGCGTGTCAGCCCAGTGGCTCTGCTGTCCCCCTGCCAGCAGGAGCTCTTCATCCTGGTGTTGGACACCACGCAGGCCACTGAGCCCCCCACGACCGACAGCCCAAGACCAGGCCGCTGGGCGTGGGGTCTGAGGGAACGGGAAGTTTCCAGTGTCGCTGCACATTTGCTGACAAGACGTTGGGTGCAGCGTCGCCTGCACATCGGCCTAGGTGGGGGCGTGGAAGCCATCTACGCACACTTACATCTTGCTCCCACAAAAATTCTTAACACCATGGGAACCTTGTCCCTGGAGCAAGTGTCTGCCAGTTGGCCCAAGACTTGGGACGAACAGGAGACACGTCTGTGCAGTTTGTAATTAGCTTCTGTCAATATCTGTGTCTTTAGCGAAGTCGATGAAACACGTCGGGAGACAGGAGGGAAAACATCCCTGCGAGCGAGCGGAGGCTCTGAGGTTTGCCGGGAGGCAAGAGGGAGGGTGTGAACCCGGGTCTGGGGGTGGCTGTGGCAGGTTCTCAGACTGGCCTCGGGCTGTACCAGGAGTGACCACTGCTCTCTGTCCCTGGGTTGTTTTGGGTGTGGCCCCTTTGTGGGCACAGGGTGAGATGGCGGGCTGACCCCATTCGGGCCTCTCCCAGCATTGGCCGGTCAGCCACTTCCCTCTGGCCATCCCCCCCACATCCCTTCCCCGCAGGGAGCTCACTCTAGAACTGGGGAGGCAGATGGTAAACAAATGGACCAATGCAGGATTACTGATTGTGATGCTGGGCAGGGGCCGCCCTCGCTGGACAGAGGACCAGCCCTGTGGGCTCTGCCTTTGCCTGAGCCAGCCTCGGGGGGAGGACACCAGGGCGAGACCCGACGGGGAGCCTTGCACCCCACCTTAGCACTGGGTTAGGCCCAGCAGGCCCACTCCCCGTTATAGAAAGAGGGGCTTCCCCAGGAAGCTGAGACGTCTGGGAGATGGCACCGTGGAGGATCCTTGGGATGGGGAAGGAGGCTGCCGCGTGTTGCGTTGAATGGGAACTGGGGGTGGCAAGAGCATCCTGGGCAGAAAGCGCCGAGGGCCCGCTGGCCACAGGAGCCCACGCGCCCTTCTCCACCCGATGTGGGTCCATCATCCACAAACAAGAGCCCCATGGGGACCTGGCAGCGCAGGGTGCGGCTTCGCAGGGCGTCCGGGGCACCTCATTTGCGGGCCCTCACCTTAGCCCCGTCCACATGGTGGTGAGGTTGCCCTTAGCATCCACGTGCCCTGCTCCCAGCGGACCCAGCGGGGAACGTATGCCCACGACTTTGCAAGGATTCTTCATGCAGACCAGATGCGGCGTCTCCAAGTGCAAGTGCTTTAGATCTGCCCGAGCCAGGAGTGGTTGCTAGAAAGGATGGTTTTCTTAGAATCCCAAAGGGTGGGCTTTTTGGGTCAAGAACCAGGTTTGGATGCTGATGCAGGGAGCTGGTGCCCAAACCAGAGTAAGGAAGCCAGCGGGGGACAATCAGGACAGCCCATGTCCCCAGGCAGAGCCGGCAGGGGGCGCTGGGGGCACGGGCAGGCTCCCCCACACTCTTCCCTGGGTGGAGGTCAGGGGTCGCACATACACCCAGATGGGGTCAGGAGACAAGGGAGCACAGAGCTGGGGGCCCCCGGAGGAAGTCTTGGGTTTGCATGTCAACACTCAGACGTGTCTGTTTAACCAGTGGCCACGCCAGGCCGGCGAGAACTCTGCAAACGGGGGCCCTGCACCTCCACGGCTAGGGGGGCGTGAGCTGCAGGAGGGTTGAGGATTAAAAATCTCTCTCCAGGGTTTCTGTATCCAGAAAACAGAAGCTCAGCTGCACCCCGGGGAGAAGGGGCCAGGCCTCACCCTCGCCCGTCCAGCCCACACCTCGAGGCTTGGCCCCCAGGAACCTCAGACATGGGTAGAGATGAGCCGCGGCCGCTGGTCACAAGTTCACACTCAGAGAGACGTGGAGCCTTTGAAAACGCCACTCCCCTTCCCTCCTGAGATGGTGACGACCCGGGTGCGAGGACGTTGTTTCGAGTGCTTTGAAAGTTCTCAGTGGTGCCAGCAGGGCCAGGAGGGTGAGCTGGCCGCTCTCTCTGTTTTCTGGAGAGGAATCGGACAGCGAGGGCCTTCTTTTTGCTGAAATAAGATGTTTCAACATCAACCTCAGCGGCCGAGTTGCCACAGTTACAAAATCAAGCAGAAAGTTTGCCCTGAGCATTTGGGTCTGTGCATATTGATGTGGCTTATTCTTGGTGTGTTTCAGCTTTTGGCTCTCACGTACGTTCCAGAGACCGAAACACTGCGCACACGTGGGAGCTCTCCGTTTAGCAGGATCTTGGCTGTTTTTTTGGTCTGTGCTTCTCGTTATTGTGTCAAGCGAGCTTCATATTTAATTCACAAACCGTGACTCAGAATAACACAGGAGGGCGGCACCTTCCACTGGAGACGCCGTGCGAGTGGGATCAGAGGCTTGTCAGCCTGCCGACACCGTGCCAGCCTCCAAGCGTTCCCGGCTCGTCCCATGCCCACTGGCGTCACCGATGAGCAATCTAATTGCAGGAGCATCAGCAGGCTGTGGTGGCTCAAGATGGACACTGCAGGCTCTCTTCCCATTTCCACTGAATTCCTGATTTTCCTAGAGTCTCCTGGTTGGGTCTGTGCCCACAGGCTCTGCTCTTTTGCGTGGCTATCTCAGCATGTGCCCCGAGCGGGGGCGTGAAGACAGGCACAGTCATCCCAGGCAGTGTGAGGCGTCCACGGCACGCTGACTTTGGCTTCTGCGGGCTGACGAGGCCTCATGCTTGGGTCAAAGGCCTGGCCTTGGTAGCTGATGGGCATCTTGGAAGGCCTGGCACCTTCTCTGGCCCTTGAGACTCTTCTCTGCCACCTGAGGGGCGATGTTCTCCCACCCCCCGCCCGGTGCCTGCCTGTCCCCAGGAGGTTCATGTCTTTCAAGGGCAGGTGATTTTCCTCAGGGTCTGTGCACCGTGTTGTCAGGATGTCCTGCTTCCAGCCCCAGGTCTGCTCCGCTTGGGCCGCAACCCACAGCTTCCACAGGCAAAGGAAACCACAGGCAGCAGGGGCGGGCGAGCGCGGGCCGCTCCGCAGGGACTGACCGGCGCTCTTGCTCTGCAGCGCTCTGCAGCCAGCTGCCCATGGCTCCAGGTGCTGGGGGAGTGGGCGGAGGGAGGCAAGGGTCAGTCCCTCCTGAGCCTTCCTGGGCCATGTGAGTTGGCGGGGTACAAGCTGCTCCCGCAGGCAGAGGCCTGGAAACCTTTCTTGGGAATTCAGCCTTCCTCCCCGCAGGGCAGCAGGCTGGAAAGAGCGCGTCACCCAGCGACAGAGGGGGTATCTCCCCAGCTCCCCACATGGCGACATACAGCCCTCTCTGATTTGTCAAAGGAAAATCCAAACTGGATTTGGAGGAGCCTCAGTCCCCTCTTCTGCAGGATGGGCTTCTCATGGCCCTGGTGTGTGGCGGGCCCGCGGTGGCCTGGTGCGGAATAGTGAGGAATACGCGACCACAGCGCCAGGCCAGCGCGCTCCGCCCGCCTCTGCCTGCCGGGCGGGCCCCTCTTGCCTCTGTGAGTGGCCTGGTGAGGAAGGAGGCCCCGTGTGGCCACGCTCGCCACCAGCAGTCTTCCGCAGGAAGCAGGCGGCTCCACTCTGCCCACCTTGGGCCCATCTGAGCGAACTGCCGAGAGGACTGTCAGCCATGGGGGCACGGCCCGGCGACACTCCTGCTGCCCCTGTTCCCGGGCGAGGGCCCTCAGTGTGGGCAGCATCGCCGTCCTAGATTAGGCCTGGGGCTCCTGCTGAGAGAGCAAACCTGACCCCTTTCTCCAGGCCACAGACGCCTTTGCAACCCCTGGGCAGATGGAGGCCTTGCCCGCAGTGTCCACGTTGTTGCACAGCTGGGAGAAACCAAGGCAGGTGTGTGGAGAAGGGCATCCTCGGCCCCTGCCCGTGAATGGGCATTACTGGGAGGCCCCACCCATGTCCCAGCTGGTGGGGAGGCCAGACCAACCCCCCAGACACCCATGAGTGGGGTTGATCTCTCCTACCTGCTGCCTCCTGGCGCGTCCTGTGCGGTGGGCGCTGTCCTCCTGGGGCGCAGGCAGCCTCTGGGCCTGCTGCCTGCCTTCTAGAAGGAACAGGGGTGGGAGGGGCTCAGGGGGGCTCTCTGGGGCGCTCCGCTCCAAGCACCCCAGACACACTGGGCTCAGGGTTGGGCAGCGTGTGGGCTGAGCCACGGGGGTGTCTCCTGCCCCTACCTCATGGGGGCCATCCAGGAACAGCACGGGGTGGTACCCGGGCGGAGGTGGCCCAAGGCGGATGTCCTCGAACTGGGCACAGCCTTGTTCCACTCGCCGACAGTCCGCAGGACAGCTGGGCTCGCATCCCCCGGCTGAGGAGAAAGAGGTTTTTCCAGAAAAATGAAGACCAGAAAAGCCTTTTAAGCATCACGAAGCAAAGATCAGAAAGAACTGTTCACTAGGCTTCTCTGAAGTGCGGTTTCTGCTGCTGAGGTGGTCGGGGCACAGGCGGCCACGTGGGCCCGGGGGCGGGGGATCATGTCTCTGCTGCCCAGAACTCTGGCCACACGGCCATCCCCAGGTGAGTGGCCAGGTGGGGGCAGGACCGGGACAAAGAGGCGCCTTGGTCCTGGCGCTCCCCTGGCTGGCCCCGGTGTAGACAGAGCAGGCTCCGTGGTGCGTGTACTTTGGGACTCATGGCCCCTTGACGCCTCCTTGTCTGGGGTCCACCACTAGGGCCTGGCAGGCCGATGCTTGGGGTTGGGAGGGTCTTCTACGACAATACTCCCACCGGCTAAGGCCTTGGGTGTCCAGGGCAAGGCCTGGACAGGCCCCAGGTCAGTGCCCCTGTGCTCAGCCCAGCAGAGCCCAGCACCCTCTCCTGGACAGTGTGACCAGAGGAGGACGTCTCTACGTCATAATGGTGGCATGCTACGGATGACAGCAGGCCACATACGTGACAAGCGTCGAGCGTGGAAGCTGCTGGCAGCCACCAGCCCCCACAAGGGGCAACAGCCCCCCAGGAGACCTCGAAATCTTCTGGTGCCCGAGAATGGCAGAGGGCTGGGCTTGGCCTGTCTGTCCGCACAGGGGTACCCCCACTGTGGATCCCTGCCCATCCTGGTGGATCCCTGCCCATCCTGGCTTCCTGCATCTCTCCTCTCCCAGGGGTCCCAAGGGGTGAGGGTGATGGGGGCATTCCTCTGGCCGTCCATCCCCAGGCTCTGCCCCACTCGCAGGGGGAGCTGCAGCCTTAGCCGCCCCCTTCCCTCCATCTCTCTTTTTTTTTCCTCCTCTGAGGAAGATTTGCCCTGAGCTAACATGTGTGCGGATCTGCCTCTATTTTGTATGTGGCCTAACGCCACAGCATGGCCGCTAATGAGTGGTGTAGGTCAGTGCCTGGGAACCAAACCCGGGCCCCTGAAGTGGAGTGCGCCGAACTTAACCACCAGGTTATGGGGCCAGCCCCTCCCTCCATCTCTTTTGCACAGAAAATCAGTGGCTGAAACTAGACGGTGATGACTGCGATGTTGGGTTGGTGCAGGGGCCACCCTAGGACCATCCCAAACACACATGCAGCAGGACCCTCTATCCTATGGGGCCCGGCTCCCTGGCTCTCCCGACTGCCCTCTGTCCTGAGGGCCCCTACCCAGCTCACCATCGGGGAGGAGCCACCAGCAGGAGCCAGCCAAGCCTGGGGGAGGTGGCTGGATGGGGCTGTGGGGACGGCTGGAGGGGGGCAGGGCGGACTGGACGCTCCTGCTTTAACAGAGTCTGCAGGGGGGACCATCGAGGGAGCATTGGATGGGGCCTGGGGCTGCAGACATTAACGCCCAACTTCCCCAGAGCCCAACTTCTGCAGAGAGAAGTGGAGACGGGCCCCAGAAGTATTTCCAAATCATAGGTGGGGAGTTATTTCTCTCGGAGGTGTCTTAATTTCATCATTATGGCGCATTATAAAAAGTAAAGTCTTTCCTTCTGCAAGGACATTCTTTAACTAATGTCCTTCTCTCCATTAGCTTTTGCTGTCCTCGCACTATTTACGTCCTGGGCAATGAGTGGGAACCGTATTGCTGATGGTATAATTTCCATTTCTTAACGCACTGAGGGTTTCCATGCGGACTTGAGAGGAGCGAACTTTGACTACCTCTTTTATCGACACCTCCGGACAATAACGACCCCAGCTCTGTATCCTGATAACCCTCTGCCAAGGTGACCGTGCGCGAGTGGGTCCCAGAAGGAGCGAGCTAATGCTGCTAGTTCCTCCAATAGCAGTGGCTTCAGACCTGAACCCACAATACACCGTCTCTGCAGGACGGGGCAAGGGAGGGCTGGAAAATGCATCTGGTGTGCAAATCAGCGTCCGTCCACACCAAGCCTGGAGTGTGTTGCCTCCCTTGGGCTTGGGCACTCTGACGGAGCTGTGTGAAGAGCTCTGTTCTCTCAACAATCACAGTAGCTGAGGCACCAACTTGGCACCAAGCACTTGCAGGCGGATTCTCAAGGAAATCTCAGGCCTCCCTCGGAGCAGAGGTTCTGTCATTATTGCCACTTGTCACGTCACATGTCATATTGACACGTCAACCACCATGCTCTATCTGGGTAGCACCGATGTCACTGAAATCAACCAGTTGACTCGGCAGGGAGACAACATGGAGAAACAGATGATTGCTCAGTAAAGCCTCCGTCTTTCAGCTGACAAGGTGTGACACTTGAGCACGCAGGCAGAGGCTTCCCTCTGTGCCATTCATTGTCCAAGGGCAAAAGAGAAGGAGGCTCTAAGACGCTTTTTGTTGCAAGTGAAAGAAACCCAATACGAATTGGCTTAAAACAAAAAGGAAGCTAAGCCTGCAGTCCTGGGAGGGAATCTTCTAGATTCAGGCCACTTGAACTCAGGTGTCCACGCCATGTCCCTGGCCTGGACTGGGAGTAGGGAGGCTTGTCTGACCCCGTGGGACAGCCCTACAAAGAGGGGAGTTCTGCTGTGAGGGGGATGGGAGGAATAGCGGGCGACAGGTGCTGCCTTTGGAAGTGGGACCACCTGGACACAGAGACCGAGGGGCGCCTTTACTGTAGACGAGCACCCGTTCTCCACAAACATGACCGCAGCACGCTGACCACACTGGGCTCACACATCTGACTGCCCTCCTGCCCTCTCCACTTGTTGGTCTCACATACTTCTCAGATGGAACCCCCAAATCTTCCCACCACCTTTCCTGGTGATTGGCACCCCAGCTACGAGCGCCTGAGCCAGAAGTGGGGGGCAGCCTCCAGTCGACCCCTCCCTTCTTTTACCCCCAGCATTTCTGCAGCAGCAGCAGCAGTGACATCAATTCTGCCTCAAAATACACTCGTATCTGAATCCACTGATGCTCTCCCTCGCCTGCCACACCCTTGCCGGCCTGGTACTTCCCACCTGACGCTGGCACTGCCCTCAGCAGGACTCCTGGGTCCTACCTCCCCCTTGATCCATCCTCCATGTGATTGCAACAGTGGCCTTCACGGGAAGCCAGGCTGGCCCCCCTCACTGCCACCAGAGCACAATCCAGGCTGGCTGAACTCAAGCCACGCACACCGACCTCTCTTCTTGGACACCCTCCCTGCCACCTCTTTCGCCTCCTTAGTCTCAGCTGGACCATGGCTTCCGGCCTGGTCCATCCAATCAGTCACTCAGCTTCTATTCACTCTACATGTTTGATGTCCAGACAGGCCAAGCCCACTGTCCCCAGCCACCCCACCCTAAGGTGGCCTGTGCGTGGACTGTGGTGTGGAGCATCCGTGGGGTGGGTGGTGCCAAGACCAGACCGGATACAGCTTGGGGAGACAGCACGGTGGCTGCAGTGGCACTTCAGAAGCACCTGGAAGCCTTGTAGGGAGCTTGTACTTCCCTAACGGAGATGAGGAGCTCATGAGAAGTCAGGAGAGGCCTGCAGGTTCTGTCCTCCCACTGAGCTGTGACAGGGCTCTCTGGTTTGCTCAGGAGTTTAAAATCATTCAAAGCTGCATCTGGTCAGAGCACCGTCTGCCCGGTAGCAGGAGGTCGGTCAGCGCAAGTCTTCTCCGTTTGTTGAGATCCAGGTTTCCCACGACTGCGGCCCAGTGGCCCCTACCCCTGACATCAGCACGGCCTTGCCCGGGCCCCACATGCTCTGTAGCCACAGCTGATCTCTCCCCCCTGCCTCCGTTTGTCTCCCTCCCCGGCCCCTTTGCCGGCCGTCCCCGGTGCAGGTGGCCTCTTCTCTCCTTTGTCCACTCCCCCTCGCTCCCCATGGAGGTGAGCACCGTTTCATCAGATGAGCCCCCAACTCCTGCCTCCTCTGCGGGCCAGACGCCCGGCTCCAGCTCCCTGCAGACACCTCCACGTGCTGTCTCTCGGACATGGAGCTCTGGGTCCCCAGACCCAATTCTCATCCCTCCTGCAGCTCAGTCTCCCACTCTGGGTGAGAGGCCCCACCCTTGACCTGGTGGCTGGGCCAGGAGCGAGGGTGACATCCTCGATTCTGCCCCACCCTTCGCTGATGCCCCCAATCCTGGTCTCTCCACGGCCACCATCTTGGAGTCCAGCCCACTGCCTGGCCTCTCGGCCCCCACTCTGGCCCTCCATACACCCCTGACACCCCAGCACACAGATTCACAATCAGGCGCTGTCCCCACCTGCTCCAAACTACCTTGACTTTCTCCTGCATCCTGAGCACAAGTCCAGGCTTCTGGCCGCAGGGCCTCCAGGATCGCCCACGCCCTCAAGGCCCACGTCTCCTCGCTCACGACTGCCGCCACGCTGAGCCTTCTGGCCTCTGCTCACGTCCTGACCTCGGGACGCTGCTGCAGGTGCGATGTCCAGGCCACCCTGCCCCTGCTGCCACCGGTCTTGCTGCCGCGGGGTCGCCGAGCATGCCCACGCCATAGCCCCTTCCTCACCCTGCCCACCCTGTTGGCAAACACGGTCCCATTAGGCCAAACCACCAAAAAGGCTAAAAGTCTGCTGGTAGGTCACCCAAAGGAAGAAAGACCCGACTTCTGATAAAAGACAAAGTGGCAGAGACACCACCAGGCACACAGCGTCGGCCATGCGAATCCCGCTCCTTCTCACTCGTGGGCTTAGCAGCAGGCCAGTGTTCTCCTGAGCGCAGTCTCCACTCAACCCTGATGGAGCTACTTCAAAGTCATCAAATTCCCTGGTGAACGCAGCAGGTATTCCAAGTCTGGGCTCCGTGGGCCCCAAGGGAAAAAAGTGTCCTGTCTTCCCTCGGGCTCTGGAGGGGACAGTGTTCTTGGCTGAGGGTCCCGTCTTCGCCTCCAGGGACCCTTGGAGCTGCTGCGGTGTGTCCTGGGGGACACGCCCCAGCCAGGCCGACCCACCAGGCAGGGCCCC